AACATTTGTAAATAATATAAATAAAAATATTATACATAGAAATTTCGTGTTATAGAGGGTGTTCCATTTGAAGTTGAAAAAAATGTTTCAAATAAAACTTACCCTGTTTTGTGGGTGGGATCTTATGGTGGTCATAAATTTTCTCTAAGTGGACGTATTTCGGAGATTTCAAGGTGACCTTTTTTTTATACGGAATTGTATGTTTTTATTTAGGCCAGGCATGTAGCCCATTCTGAGAGGAATTCATTGACCTATAACATTTTGGTCTTTCAAGGTGTTTCAAGGTCATTTAGTGCCGTTCAAAACTTACTTTCGTTTTACACCCAGAAATTGTTCCTTACCGTAGTTATTCGTCTATTCGGTCGTAAACATGAGGCAAACTGAAACTAAGACTTACTTCCTTGAATTTACAAACAGGGAATCTGTTGCTAGCGGATTACAATCGCTTCGGAAGTATTAGTATTATTGTGGCTAGCATTACCTGTTCTTGGTTTTGATAGCGATTAAATTTACAGTGGCTCATTATACGCCTAACAAAATTGTCGAGATGATTCTGGTTTTAGGAGAGTGTCGTCATAATTACAAGAAAACTACACAATTGCATCGAGATAGATTTCCAGATCGCCGGTATCCGAGTGATAGAATGATTCGAAATTGTGAACTTCGAGCTCGGCGAGGAAATTTATGTCGACACCAGCATAAGCTGCCCTCAAGATTCAGAGATTGTAACACTCGGAGCAATGGTTATGAATCCCCACATCAGTACCCGGCAGATAGATAATTGTTACAGTGTACCACGATCTACTGCATCCAGAATCTTAAGACGACATCGCTTTCACCCCTACAGAATTTCTTTGCATCAAGCATTACCTGAAAATGTAACGTGATCCTTTCTTTTTCTCTTACGTATTATTTTCTGATGAAGTCACTTTCAAAAACAGTGGGGAATTAAATCCTTTAATTCCCATTTTTGATCTCAAAAGAATCCACACTGGTACCGGTCAGTTAAACGTCAATGTCAGTGGTCGTTACATGTTTGGTGTGGCATAGTAGATGGACACAGCGGGTCCTTACTTTTTTGATGGTACACTAATAGGAGAATGCTACAATAATTTTCTGATCGATGAACTGCAAGGTCTTTTGGAAGATGTTCCACTTGGCACCAGACTAGGGGTGTGGTTCCATCATGATGATGCTCCTGCCCACAATGACCGAGTTCGGAGAATGCTGAACAGCATGTTTCCTGGTCGTTGAATAGGAAGAGGAAGTAGCATCCCCTTCCCACCAAGGTCTCTGGATTTAACACCTATGGACATTTTCTTGTGGGGCTTCATAAAAGATACAGTTTTCCAGGAAGAACCCACCATTCGTGAAAATATGAAGGACCGGGTAAGGGATGCCTGCTTACAAGTTAGTAGGGCAACACTCGAGAACATGGAAATTTCATTCAGGGACAGAATAAATGAGTGCATTGATGTCGGAGGTCGTCCTTTCGAATATAGGGGATAAGGAACAATTTCTGGGTATTAAACGAAAGTAAGGTTTGAACGGCACTAAATGACCTTGAAACACCTTGAAAGACCAAAATGTTATAGGTCAATGAATTCCTCTTAGAATGGGCTGCAGGCCTACCTAAATAAAAACCTACAGTTCCGTAAAAGTTCCAAAGAAGGTCACCTTGAAATCTTCGAAACATGTCCACCTAGAGAAAATTTATGACCACCATAAGATCCTACCCACAAAACAGAGTAAGTTTTATTTGAAACATTTTTTGAAACGAGTTATACTTTGGGAAATAATTGCGTGCGAAACTTCAAATGGGACATCCTGTATATACACAGATTAAATGAATCGCATACGACGTAATAAGTCAGAAATAAATTTAATTTCATTTGTCAAATTGTTTTTTTTTTACCATTTACTGTCATTTCTTTATCCTGAGTATACCTATTATCCCTTATGTATTAAATATATGAAAATAAGAGAATTTTTATAAAACACATACATACGGATACATTAATAGTTATTTGTGTGTTTTTATTAATATTAGTATAATTTAGTGTTATATTTTGTACAAAAGTAAGCAGAAAAATTGAAAATAAAAAG